CAACCTTACACAAAAATTAACTCAAAATAGATCACGAACATAAATGTAAGATATAAAACTTCTAGAAGAAAATCCACATGATCTTGGGTCAGGAAAGACACTATACCATTAAGAGAATGAAAAGACAAGACACAGACTGGGAAATGTTTCAAATCACCTATCTGATAAAGGACTTGTATCTCAACTATACAAAGAGCTCTTAAAACTCAGTAAGAAAACAAACAACCCAATTTTTAAAATGGGCAAAAGATCTGATTTTTGAAAAGGCACAAAGGCAATTCAATGGAGAAAGAGTCTTTTCAACCATGGTACTAGAGCAACTGGACATTCATATGCAAGAAAAAAAAGAAGTACACAGATGGAAAATTAGCATAGAAAAATGTATTTGCCATCAGATGGAAAATCAGCATATAAAAGTATATTCAACATCATTTGTCATGAAGGAAATGTAAATCAAAACCAGGAGATAACCACTGAGAAACTGCCACAGATTGAAGGAGACTAAGAAGACAATGTGGGATCCTGGAACAGAAAGAGGACATTAATGGAAAGACTGGTGAAATCCAAATAAAGTCTATAGTTTAATATTATTGTACCAATGTTAAATTCTTAGTTTTGACAAAATTTCCACTGTTATATAAGATGTTAACATTAGGGGAAGCTGAGTGAAGGGCATATGGGAACTCTCTTTGAAAATTCTATAAATCTAAAATTATTTGAAAATAAAAAGTTAAAAAAAAAGGAGGTAAGAAAGTTGAAGGTGCTAGTGAGAGTAATTCAGATACTGTATTTTCACAAATAACATGCCCATGTAAATAACGTGACCACATATATAACACGCAGAAATGATGCAATTAAGTAAAAACAGTTCTGGCATAGCACACCCATGCATATACTGCACATGTCTCACAACATTTCCAGAAGTGAATTTCCACTTCATTCACCCGTCCTCCCATATTACAGGTAAATCATATCGCTCTGTTCATTTTCATCTCCTGCTTATGTGTATAAAAATAGTCCAAAAATGTTACTTTTGATCGTAATTGTATAACAAAGGTATAAGCCACGGTCAAGAAGTCATGGATCGACTTTGGTAGTCCCCCAGTAACTGGAAAATAAACAACTGAAACTATGCATTTGTTTCTTATTTAAGTTGGTAATATAATGCATTAACAGTTGAATGTGAAAACCTTACCAAATTGCCTGAAGTGAAACCACTAGGTTATGTTAGGTCTGCTTATTTCATAGTTTAATTACGTCTTCTTAGCGTCTTAAACGATAATTGGTGACATCGGGAAGTGTAATTTTATTACAGTGGGAATATTTTACGTTTTAGTATTTTATCACAGTTGATAATCTGTACAAACAAAAAAATAAAAGAATAAGACTCTCCAAAATTTCAACATGACTCTTTATACTAACAATAAAACACTATATTTGCCATTAAAATACTACAAGTAAATTAAGAGAATAGAGAAACTGTCATGTTATTTTAATAACTATTTCAATATGAATAGAATAAAACAGAATGAAGAGCACATATACTTGTCTGGTGCTAATGACATAACATTTTGCAGTTTTGCAGATGAAGCAAAATGCATAATTTGAGCCAGAAATTGAAATAGTTTAGGATTAGTATCTAAGGACAAACATTTCAGAAAATATGTGCAAAGGTAAGCATGCATTCGCTACCGGGAGTCCTCTATGCAAGTGTCTTTACATCACATTTTACTTGGTTTCTCAAATCGAAACTGTGATCTGTTCTCAATAATACATAATTTTAAAATCCCACAAAAGAGGCAGTTCAGTAGAGTGGTTACGAGCTCAGGTTCTATAGTCAGATTTTTGGCTTTATCATTTACTGGCTATGGGATCTTAGGAAGCTTAAACTCTCTAGGCCTTAGAGTCCACATTTGTAAAGTGACAATGATAATAGTTAAATCTACTTCATAGGACTATCACATTGTTTAGATTAAGATAATCCCTGTAAAGTGCTTTCCACAGCACTTGACACACAGTAAATTCTCATTAAAAAGTAGTCAGTATTATTACTGATGTTATTACTACTACTATTTTTCATTACTACCAGTGAAATAGTCACTCTTGAAAATAAAAAACAAAACAAAAAAGGTCTAGTAGAAGTGACAGTACAAGAGAAGCAAAGATAGAAGATTGTGCTCAGAGAACAGAATATTGGATTTCAGAGGTAGTGTAGACAAAATCCAGGCTGTGGTTATGGGAGTTTTTGGCTAAAGCGGAGTGATGGGAAAGGTCATTGTTTGGAGCTGACGTTAAGAAATTGTGAGGAGGTTATGGTTGGTCATAAGGTTTTCACTGGCCAATTTTTTTTTGGAAGTAGATTGCTAGATCCTTCTTCCTAGTCTGTCTGTCAGTCTGAAAGCTCTGCTGAAACCTGTCCACCATGCGTGACCCTGCTGGTATTTGATATACCAGTGGCATAGCTTTCAGCATCACAGCAACACACAAGCCACCACAATATGACAAATTGACAGACACGTGGATTGACACAGTGGCTGCAACAATGGGCTTATACACAGCCGGGACTGAGAGGATGGTGCAGGACCGGGCAGTGTTTTGTTCTGTTGTACATAGGGTCACCTTGAGTTGGAACCAATTCGAAGGCACCTGTCTTAGTTATCTAGTGCTGCTATTAACAGAAATACCACAAGTGCATGGCTTTAACAAACAGAAATTTATTCTCTCACAGTCTAGGAGACTAGAAGTCCAAATTCAGGGCACCAGCTCCAAGAGAAGGCTTTCTCTCTCTGTCAGCTCTAGGGCAAGGTCCTTGTCATCAATCTTCCCCTAGTCTAGGAGCTTCTCAGCACAGGGACCCCGGGTCCAAAGGACACACTCCACTCCCAGCACTTTCTTGGTGGCACGAGGACCCTCTCCTCTCTGCTTGCTTCTCTCTTTTATATCTTGAAAGAGACTGACTCAAGATACAACCTAATCCTGCAGACTGTGTCCTGCCTCATTAACATAATAGACAGCTCACTCCCAAATCGGATCACAATCACAGGCATAGTGGCTAGGATTTACAACACACAGGATAATTATATCAGATCACAAAATGGAGGACAACCACATAATACAGGAATAATGGCCTAGCCAAGTTGACACACATTTTGGGGGGACACAATTCAATCCATAACAGCACCTAACAACAACAACAATGGTTGGTCATCCACATAATGGTCAATTATCTCTCAGAATGACAGGAAATGAGGTAAAGAGGAACCTTCAGGTACAAAGACCTCACTGCAGGAAGATAAGTGAGAAGATGGTGACATAGTCCCATCATGGGCCTTTCCAGGGCCCCCACCCTCCTTTTTCCCAGTTCTTGCTACCTTACACCTACTCCACTCTAACCACATTTCCTTTCAAATAAGGAAATCATAAAAATGCTGTACTGTTTCCCAGCAGCACCTCACAAACACGCACTGGGCACCTACTGTGTGCAAACCACTGTACATAATCCAAGGAGGTTGAATCACGCTTCCTGTCCCAACACCCTGTAATACAGGTGGACAGATAAAAACATGAATATAAACTACATCCTCATATCACTGACACAGAGTGACATAAAATAGTATTTATATATACAACACTCCTCCACAAATAGCAAACATGAAATAAAAGACTCCCAACAGATACTTCTGCTTATCCCAGTCTTATTTCTTAATCTATAATGCCTCCCTCCCATGTATCCACACATGGAAGCAGTACTCTTAGTTGCCAGACAGGAAGGTAGCTCCCTTGGGTTGCTTATTGAGACCCTATTTTCATCCAGAGTTGAGCTATCGTACCCTCACCCCCCTCCAATCTGGTTTTCCTAAGGTATGACAGGGGGTGGTTTACCTATAGCTTTAAAGTTCAAAATAAAGAAAGCTTTATGCAGATTCTGGATTTTTATGGATCTCCTCTGATAGCGGAAATATTCAATAAACCATAGCCAGTACTTGTCATACTAAGAACAAACATATATAGAGTCACTTAAAAGGATGACTTGCTGTAACTTTAAATATAATACATGCTGCTTTTCTCTGACACACCAGAATGTTCTTTTCAAAAATCTTTATTAACTTTAAAGAAGGAATAAAAACAGCCACTTTACTTTGGTGAAGGGTAAGACAGTACACAATACTGGGGAAGCCAGCACAACTTGTACAAGGAAAGGTCATGGAAGCTCCATAGACACATCCAAACTCTCTGAGGGACTGAATTGCTGGGCAGAGGGCTGTGGGGACCATGGTCTGGGGGAACATCTAGCTCAATTGGCATAACACAGTTTATAAAGGCAATGCTGTACATTCTACCTTGGTGAGTAGCATCTGGGGTCTTAAAAGCCTGTGAGCAGCCATCTAAGATACTCCACTGGTCTCACCCCTTCAGGAACAAGGGAGAATGAAGAGAACAAGATACAAGGAAAAGATTAGTCCAAAGGACTAATGGACCACAACTACCAAGGCCTCCACCAGACTGAGTCGAGTACCACTAGATGGTGCCCGGCTACCACCACTGACTGCTCTGACCAGGATCACAACAGAGGGTTCCAGACAGAGCTGGAAAAAAATGTAGAACAAAAGTCTAACTCAAAAAAAAAGACCAGACTTACTGGCCTGACAGAGACTGGAGAAACCCCGAGAGTATGGCCCCCGGATACCCTTTTAGCTCAGTAATGAAGTCACTCCTGAGGTTCACCCTTCAGCCAAAGATTAGACAGGCCCATAAAACAAAATGAGATTAATGGGCACAGCCCAGGGACAAGGACTAGAAGGCAGGAGGGGGACGGGAAAGCTGGTAATAGGGAATCCAAGGTTGAGAAGGGAGAGTGTTGACATGTCGTGGAGTTGTTAACCATTCTCATAAAACAATATGTGTACTAAGTGTTTAACGAGAAATTATTTGTTCTGCAAACCTTCATCTACAGTACAATTAAAAAATTAAAAATTAACGAAAAAACCAACCACTTTAGAAACTAGAAACACTCAAACAGTGATTTATTCATATAGTTTCTACATGGCTGAAGAAGTTTCAATCAAATGCCCAGCAGACAAACAACAGTACAGAAAACCTATATACAGAAAGATTTAGAAAAAGCCATCTGCTAGAATAGTACTCTTACCCACCCTCTCTAGCTGGAAGCAGGTTAAATGGACTCAGCTGAAGACCTCACGGAATGGAGAAGAATCAACAGGAAGCACTGTGAAGCCTTCGGCTGGGGCGTGAAGGTAGGAACCAGTCCATGTCGTCAAGAAAAAGCCCTTTTTCCTCCTGCCTGAAGTGCTTGCCTTCAGTATGAGCTTGGTGAAAGACCCTGGTCACTTGAACTGGTTGTCAATCAAGGTCCCCTTCATCTTAGCTTTCTTAGCTTCCAGTTCAGCCTGGAGAAGAAGAAAAGTTACAGGTTCAGATCCATAATACAAAATTCTTATTTTCCTTATTCTAATTGCCCCAAACACTATCCCTAATGTTCATTTAGCATATCAATGAGAATAGTGGTTCTAGAATCATTAGGAATCTCTAGCAACTGCTTTCTAACCTTTCTGATGTTACGGCATGCACAGAAAATGAAAATATTTGTATGCCAAAGTGGTGCTAAATATACAAGGCTGGGGCCAAAGGCAACTGGTGCAGGGATTCCAGCAGCCTCAAGGCCCCCCAAGGGCAAAGGAATCGATACTGTGGCATACACAGTATCCTACTCTTGGCAGAAGAGGAAGAAAAACACTGCCCTAGAACACTGTCACACAAAGTTGTCTGGTCTGCGAACTGCCACAAGTCTGTGAACTGTTTGTTGCTGGTCCATGCAAGACATGTACAAAATCTGGGTAAGCATTTACGAAAAAAAACAAAACAAACAGAATTTGACAGAGTAATAATAAAATAATCTAATAATAAAAATTGGGGCCAACTCATTTTTATTATATTTACAAATTATAAATCTGTTCATGACAGATAATTTAAAAAAAAAAGGCACTGGTCCCTCACCTCAGAAAGTTTCATAAGTATCGCTCTAGACCACAATGGCAAGGCAAAAAAGCTCCTGGGACCTACTACCTCTGTCACCAAAAAATCCTCTACAGTCATTAGAATAGATGGGTTGCCTTTTGATGAGGCATCAATGCAGGGATGTCTGGTTTTAATGAAATATCGTAATTATTATCCAAAACCAAAAATGTCAGCGACATCATATATAGATGTGAATCGTCTAAGATGAGCCCATGAACCAGTAATGAAGAAAACCACCGTCAGTGCTTTAGGCAGCACTGACCAGCCCCAATCCTGGTACTGCCAAAGTAGCACCATCGTATGCCATTATGTCCTGGGAGACAAGAGACAGAAAGGGCCACATAAACCAGAGACTGCATCAGCCTGAGACCAGAAGAACTAGATGGTGCCTGGCTACCATCACTGACCGCCCTGACAGGGAACACAACAGAGAGTCCCTGACAGAGCAGGAGAAAAGTGGGGTGTAGAACTCAAATTCTAGTAAAAAGACCTGACTTAATGGTCTGACTGAGACTGGAGGAACCCCGGAAAGCATGGCACCTGGATTCTCTATCAGCCCAGAACTAAAACAATTTCTGAGGCCAACTCTTCAGACAGGGATTGGGCTGGACTGTGGGACATAAAGTGATACTCGTGAGGAGTGTGCCTCTTAGCTCAAGTAGCTACAAGAGACTAAACGGGCAGCTTCTGTCCGGAGGTGAGATGGGAAGGCAGAGAGGGTTAGGAGCTGGTTGAATGGACATGGGGAATCATGGGTGGAATGCAGGAGTCTGCTGTCACAATATGCAGAGAGCAATTAGAGTCACATAACAATGTATGTATAAATTTTTGTATGACGGACTAACTTGAATTGTAAACTTTCACTTAAAGTACAATAATTTAAAAAAAATTATATCTCGGGAGAGCATGGATAAGTTTGACTGTTTACTCCTCTCCTTGGGTCACAAGTAGCAGATTAAAATATTATTCCAGTTATGGCTCTCTAACAAATATTCTAATTTACAGAGTAGACCTTATGGTTACTGCTACAGAGTGGGGTATACAGACTGTCACGTGGTCAAAGCCCAGAGAAAGAAATGTAGCAGCCAACTATACCAGTAACCCCCCATAGACTTTCTAGAGGATTTCCCTGCCTGTTGGAGGGGCTCTCAGACCAAGAAATCTAAATAATCAAACCCAGCCCCTTTCCACCCCATGCTACTCACCAGCTCTTGCAGCCGCCTCTTGCTCATGCCTTTGCGCTCCAGCTGCTTCTCAATCACTTTGGCATTCTGTGCATATGAGTCAGCAACTTCCCTCTGAGGGAAACAAGAAGCATCCTTCAATCAGCAGTCTCACCAATGAATAACAAAGAACATAAGAAGCAGTTTCTACTACTCAAATTATGAAATCACTATGGAAATGGCAGGACTCTGTTCTCTTCCAACTCTTTATCTTTTAAATAATCCAGAAGAGTTCAGGTTTCACCTGAAACCATTTTTAAAATAACAGAAAACACCTCTCCCTAAATATCATTATACTGAAGTACCATAAAGGTAGTTGCTACTGCTGCTAAGGATAGACTCACCCACCATCAGAGCTGGACCTAAAATCATTTAGTCCAATCGTTTTTAAACTGAAGAGGGAATGGGGCTATGTCCCCTAAAGTATGAAAATCACTGATCTAGTCCAACTCCTTCATTCTCAGTTTCCAGATATCCCTGAGATGAAGAGGAACAGAGACTAGCCCAGTGTTACACAGTTTCTTACTAGCACAGCAGGGTCTAAAAGCAAGGTCTCTAATTATACTGCTACTCAAATGCTCTACAGTCTCCTTTCCTTTCACCCCACCTCTCCTCCAATTCCAATTCCTATGAGGGCAGAAGCACTTACAGCCTCAATCTCCTCTTCCTCTTCATCAATGGTAGACACAGTGACAGAGCTGAACTTGCCCATGTCTTTAGTCCGTCTGGTCATCATCACCTGGAATATCAGGAAGAAGAATTAGTCAAGTTCACCACAAGAGGATCCATGAGCCGTGTGTGTGCGTGTGTGTGTGTGTATTTTGGAGGGGGTACAACTACTTTGGGACAAGCTAGCTGACTGAAAAGCTCCAATGTTTTTATTTACATAATATTTTTCGAACACTTGCCATCAAGAGTTTTTAAACTACATATAAAAATTAGCCTAGAAAATTGGCCTAATTCATTCCATTTTTAATTGTTCACATGGGACAAAAAAGACATTTGAAGGAAATAAATTTGAATTAAAAAACACAATTTCTGGAACAGGGGAGCCAAGATGGTGGCTTAGCCAGACTCACTATGCTGTCCCTTTATAGCAAAGGCCCTAGAAACCAAATGAAACAGATACAGTTGACAATCCTGGAACCCTGAGCATCAAATGAAAGGATAAAGAATTAGATCAAACACCAACTGGAAGAAGAAACTGAACAAAAACAGCAAACGAGGAGAGATACGGAGTGGAAGTGCCCTGCCAGCTGGTCTGGCACAGTGTGGCCATCTTGAGACAAAGCTAGCAGTGATCCCAGGTGAGGAGTACAGGAAAGCAACTTCCAGAATTCCCAACTAGAGACAGAGAAACTGTGCAGATATACACGGAGTGAAGCAAGGTGAGCAGGACATGAACCAGAACTAAAGAGGAAAAATACAGGAAGGTGGGCGAGAGCTCCAGGGACCCCAGCGTCCACAAAGCAGAGAGGGAGCCAGGATCCAGAGACAGGGCGACTTACCAGCAGTGGTCCCCGACCATTAGGGTGGGTGGCATGCACAGAGTAACAGATCCATAGAGTGTCAGCAGAAGGTCCCCTGCCCAACTGAACCCCAGGCAGCTCCCCCAACACGTGGTTGGGGCCAGGTCCCGATAGCTGGCTGCAGCCAACATGAAGTGCCCAGGCATCCTCATCTGGTGACCAGAGGAGCATGCTCCCCCTCCCCCACTCTATTCAAACTATTCCAGAAAACAGAAAAGGAAGCAATACTCCCTAACTCATTCTATGAAGCCAGCATAACCCTGATACCAAAGCTAGGCAAAGACACCACTAAAAAGGAAAATAACTGACTAATATCCCTCATGAATATAGCTGTAAAAATACTCAAAAAAATTCTAGCAAATAGAATTCAACAGCATATTAAAAAAAATACTTCACCATGACCAAGTGGGAATCATACCAGGGATGTAAGGATGGTTCAACATTAGAAAACCAATCAATGTAACTCACCACATAAATAAAACAAAGGAAAAAGATCACACAATCATCTCAGTCGATGCAGAAAAGGCATTTGATAAAATCCAACACCTTTCCTGATAAAAACTCTCAATAAAATAGGTATAGAAAGGAAATTCCTCAACATAATGAAGGGCATATATACAAAACCAACAGCTAACATTATTCTCAACAGAGAGAGATTGAAAGCAATCTCCTTGAGAACGGGAACTAGACAAGGATGCCCATAATATTTGTGCTGGAAGTCCTAGCCAGAGCAATAAGGCAAAAAAGAGAAATAAAGAGCATCCAAATTGTAAGGAAGAAGTAAAACTATCCCTATTCGCAGATGACATGATCCTATATATAGGAAATTCCAGAGACCCCACAAGAAAGTTACTGGAACTAATAGAAGGGTTCAGCAAAGTGGCAGGGTACAAGATCAACATACAAAATTAAGTTGGATTCCTCTACTCGAACAAGGAGAACTCTAAAAAAGAAATCAAGAAAACAATACCATTTACAATAGCCCCCCAAAGGATAAAATATCTAGGAATAAATCTAACCAGGGACATAAAAGACTTCATACAAAGAAAACTATAAAACACTACTGCAAAAAATCAAAAGAGACCTACATAAATGGAAAAACATACCATGCTCATGGACTGGAAGACTTAACCTTGTGAAAATGTCGGTACTACCCAATGCGATCCATAGATACAATGCAATCCTGATACAAATTCCAACAACACTCTTTAATGAAATGGAAAAACTAATCATTAACTTTATATGGAAAGGGAAGAAGCCCTGGATAAGTAAAGCACTATTGAAGAAGAAGAACAAAGTAGGAGGACTCGTACTACCTGACCTCAGAACCTACTGTACAGCTACTGTAGTCAAAACAGCCTGGTACTGGTACAATGACAGACATACAGACCAATGTAACAGAATTGAGAACCCAGAAGTAAAACCATCCTGCTATGGACAGCTGATCTTCAACAAATGGTCAAAGTCCATTCAATGGGGAAGAGACAGTCTCTTTGATAAATGGTGCTGACAAAACTGGATATCCATTTGTAGAAAAATGAAACAGGATCCATACCTCACACAATACACAAAAACTAACTCAAAATGGATCAAAGACCTAAACGTTAAACCTAAAACTATAAAGCTCCTGGAAGATAACATAGGAACAAAGCTAGGGGTCCTAGTTTATGGCATAGACTATCAAACATAACTAAAAATGCACAAACAACAGAAGATAAACTAGATAACTGGGACCTCCTAAAAATTAAATACTTAATTTTCATGAAAAGACTTCACCAAAAGAGTAAAAAGAGAACCTACAGACTGGGAAAAATATTTTGGTAATGACATATCAGACAAGGGTTTAATCTCTAAAATATATAGAAAACTTCAACACCTCAACAACAAAAAGATAAACAATCCATCAAACAATGGGCAAAGGACATGAACAAACACTTCACCAAAGAAGACATTCACGTGGCTAACAAACACATGAAGAGATGCTCGCAATCATTAGCCATTAACCAAAAAACCCATTGCCGTTGAGTCTATTCTGGCTCATAGAGACCCTATAGTTGTGGGTAATTGTATATACATATTTATATGTGCTGCCATGTATATTCATATATATAATAGAGCACGTAGGGGGCACAGTTACGGAAACTTCTTAGACATATCCAAACACCTCCTGGGACTGAGTTACTGGGCTTGAAGGCTAAGGACCATAGTCTCGGGGGATACCTAGCTCAACTGACATAACATAGTTCATAAAGATAACGTTCTACGTCCCAGTTTAGTGAGCAGCATCTGGGGTCTTAAAAGCTTGCCCACAGCCATCTAAGATACAACTACTGGTCTCTTCCCATCTGGAGCAAAGGGGAGTGAAGGAAACAAAAACTCAAGGAAGAAATTATTCCAAAAGACTAATGGCTTACACAAACCACGGCCGCCTCTAGCCTGAGACCAGAAGAACTAGATGGTGCCCGGCTACCACTACTGACAGCTCTGACCAGGGACACAATAGAGGGTCCTGGTTAGAATGGGAGAAAAATGTAGAACAAAACTCAAATTCATAAAAAAGACTAGACTTACTGGAATGAGAGAGACTGGAGGAACTCCCGAAACTATCGCTCTAAGACACCCTTTTAACCTGGAACTGGAGCCACTCTGGAGGTCACCTTTCAGCCAAATAATAGATTGGCCTATAAAATAAACAATAACACCCTCGAGGAATGTGCTCCTTAGAACAATCAACTAAATGAGACCAAATGGGCAACATTTGCCCAAAAGCAAAGATGAGAAGGCAAGGAGGGGCAGGGAAACTGGAGGGATGGAAACGGGGAAGGCAGGGTGGAAATGGGGAGAGTGCTGACATACTGCAGGGATAGCAACCAATGTCACAGAACAATTTGTATATGAATTGTTGAATGGAAAACAAATTTGCTGTGTCAACTTTCACCTAAAACACAATAAAATGTTAAAAACAACAACATACAATTTCTAACCTTACAGGGCAACTGTAGGAAAGAAAAGAGGACATGTAGTAGATGTTACGATTCTTTAACATCTGCTTATACACAAAAATAGCATTCTCTTAATAAAGAATGCATCCATAAAGGAGAGCTTCTCATGCACTATACAATCTTATTTTAAAATATAGGCCTAAATCTGTCGCTATATTAAACCAGCTGGTTTCCTTCGATGATAATTACCTTCTTGGGAGGCTCTTGTTTCTGAGTATATATATTCGTTTTCCCAAAACCCTGGCCAAACTTGACCACTGCTCCATCCACGATGAAGGTGACAGGAGCGTTCTTGGGCTGGGACTGGTAGAAGAGTGGTAATCCACACCTGCAAACGGCACAGTGAATCTCAGCATCCAAATCCGCAAAACAGTGACTCACAAAGTATTCTTGGACTCTGGGAATATTCTTGTTGATGATTAGCCCTTCCCAATGTTTCCCAAAACTACTTGATAAGAATCACTTACGGTGCTTGTTAAAGTTGCCCATCAGATGCCTAGGACCCTCCCCAGAAGATCCTGATTCAGCAAATCTGAGGGGTGAGGTCTGGGACTTGTCATTTTAATCAGCATCCCAGGTGATTCTTATCATTAGACAAGTTTGGGAAATACTGGCTCATGGTACTGATTGTTTTCCAGTCAAAACTGCTACCATTCTTCTCAGGCATCTGGGTAACTAGTTTGGGGGTTTTGTCTAGTTTTTTCTGTGTGTGTGTGTGTGCATATGTGTGCGTGTGTGTGCGTGCGCACGCGTTTTGTTTCTGCAGTGTCAAGAGGGAGTATAAAGGCTCCACTGCAGTGGTCTGCAAACTAATCCCTGTAGTAGTTTCCATACTACTTTCTTTGGCTGGCCCACATTATATTGTTTGAGCTAAATAAAGTAGACCTGCAAGATATGATGGAGTCTCTGAGTAGAGCAAACAGTTAACACTCTCGGCTGCTAACTGAAAAGTTAGAGGTTTGAGTCCACCCAGAGGTGCCTTGGAAGAAAGCCCTGGCAATCTACTTCAGAAAAATCAGCCACTGAATACCCTATGGAGCACAGCTCTACTCTGACATACATGAGGTTCCCATGAGTCAGAAATGACTCGACAGCAACTGTTGTTTTGAAAATAAGATATGATAAAATCAATTTAACCAACGCAGTATGGTTGTGAGCTAAATGGCTTCTCATCCATTTTCCTCTATTTAATTCTTCTAGTCCAAATCCTCTGATGTACCTGTGGAAAGACTGAACTACTATAGTTTAATATTCTCACCATTAATAGCATAAAGCTAGATATAATTTTTTTTGCTTTAAATATTATTCTCTAAATGAAGGTTCTTATATCTGTGATCCTATAACAGACTTTATTAATAGGTCTGGATTAATTACACTGTGTTACATTCACCGTATGACCCAGCAATCCCACTCCAAAAGAAAACATACATCCCCACCAATTTTTATACTTGAATGTTCATAGAAGCTTCACTCCTAATATCCCAAAATGGAAACAACCCAAATGTCCTTCAATGGGTGAGTGGTTAAACACACTGTGGTACAACCATACAATGGAATACTAATGAGCAGTAAAGAACACATTATTGACACATGCAACAACTTGGATAAATCCCAAACGCAATACACTAAGTGAAAGAACACAAGACTATGCATTGTACATCAAAAAACCCACTGCCATCACATCGACTCCAACTCATGGCTACCCTATAGGACAGAGTAGAACTGCCCCATAGGATTTCCAAGGCTTAGATCATTACAGAAGCTGACTGCCACAGCTTTCTCCCACTGAGTGGCTGGTGGGTTTGAACTGCCGACCTTTCAGTCAGTGGCTGTACACTTAACCACTGCACCACCAGGGTAGTAGAATACATATTGTAGAATTTACAGAAAATTTGATTTGAGAAAAGGCAAAACTATACAGATAGAAAGCAGAACAGTGGTTGTCAGAAGAGAGGGTGGGGGAGGGGAATGACTGCAAAGGGCACACGGGATGTTGGAAATGGTGGTATTACACGAGTGTATATTTTTGTCAAAACTCATACTGTACACTTAAAATTGGCAAATTTTACTATATGTAAATTACATCTCAATTTTTAAAAATTACACTACGTTAAAAATCCATTTTTGTGGCCAGCTGGTCAGGGATGAAACTCTGACTAGTCTCTTGGGGGAGCATATTGGCATTTGTATAGCTGAAATCTGAAGGCAGTTGAGATTATAAGGATGAAGACATTAACAGAATTGTATGCAAATAATTATTTTCCTAACATAGTATGCTTCTACTTGCTTATAAGCTTGGAGAAACCCACACTGTTAATACTTACTTTGCACACTTCTTCCTGTACTGTCGTTCAATGCCTTCAGGCCTGCATAGAAAATGGAAGTTTTTACAAAAAAAGATATAAACAAATCTCATTACCTACCAACCTCACCATCTCATTTCTTCAAATGTCAACAAGGCCTTTTGAAAGTTTTCATCCATCAGCTGGTTAGTTAAACATCTATTAATTTTAAAGTTCCAGCATTCCTTCCTTCCTTCCTTCAACAAACATTTACTAAGCCCCTAATATGGGCGAGGCATCTCCCTGACGGAGGAGGAGGAGGAGCAGTAATAGTAGTTGTTGTTGTTAGTTGCTGTGGAGTCGATTCCGACTCACTGTGACCCCGTGTGCAGAGTAGAACTGGTCCATAGGGTTTTCAAGGCTGTGACCTTTTGGAAGCAGAACACCAGGACTGACTTCCGAGGTACCTCTGGATGGTTTTGGACTGCCAACCTTTTGGCTAACAGTCAAAGTTGTAGTCATGATGGTTGTAATAGTAATGGTAGTATTTGTAGTAGTAATAATAGCAGCAGCCACTTACATGGCTTTTACTACGTGCCAGGAGCTATTCTAAAATGTACATGTATTAATTCATTTAATCCTCACAATAACCCTATGAGGTATAAAACCCATTGCCCTCGAGTTGATTCTGACTCTTAGTGACCATACAGGACAGAGTAGAACTGCCCCGTAGGGTTTCCAAGGAGTGGCTGGTCGATTTGAACTGCCGACCGTTTGGTTAGCAGCCAAGCTCTTAACCACTAAGCCACCAGGGCCCCATGAGGTATAAGTCCTATTATTATTCTCATTTTACAGATGACGGAGCCTAAGCACAAAGCAATTACATGACTTACCCAAGATCACAGAGTTAGGGAGTAGAGTAGGTAGAATTCAAGCCCAGGCAGTCAAGCTCAAGAGCCAACACAATACTGCCAACTCACAGATAAAAAGACTCAATTCCACCCACCCAGTTGCTTAACAGAAACCTGGGACTCATTCTTGATTCTTCTCTTTCCCTCATCTCCCACATCTACTTCATCAGTAATCTGGTGGGTTTTATTTCCAAAACAGATCTTGAACCTGTCTACTCTTCTCCACTTCCCCTGCCACCACCTTTGCCTAGGCCCTCAGCATCTCTTCCCTGGTCTCCTATAATAGCTCCCTAATTGCTCTCCTCACTTCCCCCTCTGATTTGTTCAATTTTTTAACAGGTAATACCTGCACATGGCATACATAAGAGTCTAAAATGAAAAGTAAATATCCTTCCATCCCCTGCCCCAGTTCTCTTTCCCAGTGGCAAATGCTGTTTCTGGTTTCTTCTTCTATTTCTCCCAGAGACAGTCTACATATAGAAGCAAAGAACCCTTATTGATACATAAAGAAAATTTTTTTTTTCCTTTTTTCTTAAATATAAACGTAGCACACCGTGTACTGTCCTCTATTTTTTTTTTACTTAAAAATATACTTTGGTTAAAATAAATGTGTGTGTATATATGTATCTATATATATACAGATAGATAGATAGATAGATAAAATATAATATAAATAAATAAATTCATCTGAGCGATCCTTCCCTATCAATAGATAAAGAGTTGCTTCATTCTTCAAAAGAGCTGCACTGTATTCCTTTATACAGGTGAACCAAAATGTTTTTTATCTGTTGGATAAATTCTGAGGCATGTATACATTTTATATTCTGGTAGATACTGCCAAATCACTCTCTACAGAAGTTGAATCAATTTACATTCCCACCATCAATGTATTGAGAGTGTCCGTTTCCCTACAGTCTCACCAACACAGTATATTATTAAACTGTATCACCGCCAATCTGAAGCGTGAAAAATGGGACCTATAACTTGCATTTTTTTTAAGAGTGAAGTTAATAAGCATCTTTTCATATATTTAATAACCATTTATATTTTCTTTTTGTGAATAGTTGGTTCTTATCATTTTTATTTTATATTAAGGAGACTTGCAAATATTAAGGTGCCTGGTGGCACAGTGATTAAGTGCTCAGCTGCTAACTGAAAGGTCAGCAATTCAAACCCACCAGCCGCTCCGTGGGAGAAAGCTGTGGCAGTCCGCTTCTGTAATGATCTGAGCCTTGGAAATCCTAGGGGGCAGTTCTACTCTGTCCTGCAGGGGCACTATAAGTTAGAATCAACTAGATGGCAATGGGTTGTTGTTGTTGTTGCTGTTGTTGTTTTTGGCAAATACTTTTCACCCCATGCATAAATTTTCTATTTTTGTGTAGTCAAATCCTTTTTTGTTTGTTTGCTTGCTTGTTTTTAATGGCTTCCAAGTTTATGTCACACTTAGCTAGGCCTTCCCTACTCCAAATTCATATTTTTTAAAAAATCTGATTACTTATTCTACAACCCACTTCTACTACCGTTCTATTCCAAATCATTCTCTAAATAGAGGTAAAAGTGACCTTAAAATACAAGCTGTATCATGTCACTCACATCTGCTTAAAACTGTTCAACAGCTTCCCAGAATAAAATCCAAGCTCCTTACCATGGCCTACCAGGCACCAGCTGAGTACATAACCAGGCCCCTGCCTCATCTCAGACGTTCTCTCCCTCCCTGACTACGCTCTGGCCACACCACGCTTCCTTCTGTTCTTTGAACAAACGAGCACTTTCCCACCTCTGAGCCTTCACACACGCTCTTTTCTCTGTTGGGATGTTCTTCTCACCACTTTGCCATGGCTAGCCCCTTCTCATCTTTTTTTGGTCTCTGTTCAAATATCACCTAGTCAGAGAGGCCTTCCCCGATCATACTTTCTAAGAGGTTTTCACATGATTCTCTATATCAGCTCTTTGTTTCATTCACATCACTTTCTACAATTGCAATTATTTTATTTTTCTCTTTACTAATTTTCTGTCACCCCACTAGACTGTAAACTCCATGAGATCAGAGATCAGCAGAGACCATGTCTGTGTTTCACCACTCTATCCCCAGAGCTGAGCAAAGTCTTAAAAACAAAGTAGACATGTAATAAATATGGTTGAATGAAATCTTCCAAGAATTCAGTTTAGTGAGGAAAATTATATAATCAAGGAGGTAAGTTCTAAAATGGAGGAATGTACAGTGAAACCTGTGAGAGCTGGAACTCGACGGGACTGCCTTGTTTTTCTGGGTCTTGCAAGTTTTCCACCTTTGACAGGGTACAGCCTTACCACTTTTCTATCATTCCCTTTAGTGGAAAATATTTGGGTTTCCCTTCTCTGACAGGTTTCTGCCTTACACAGTTTCCGGCTTTCACAAGTTTTACTGTATAAGGTGTAATGGGAACACCGAGGTGGGAGCACCAAAGTCTGTCTGAGGCAGTCAGGGAAGGCGTCATGAGAAGGTGATGTTTGAGCCAACAGTCCTGATAAAAATGATATTTAAGGCTGAGGGAATACTATGTGCAAAGTCAAAACAGCACAGGATACTCAGGGAATTTCAAATAGTTTAATGTTATTAGAAGCTAAACATTAACAGAGTTGTGAAGAGGATGGAGTGGGGCATTAGTGCCTGAGGGGTACTAAGTTTCTGTTTGGGGTGATGAAAAAATTTAGAAATGGACAGTGGGGATGGCTATACCACATGGTGAATATAATTAACATCACTGAACTGTAAACTTAAAATGGTTAAAACAGTCGATTTTGTATTATATACTTTTTATCACAATAATTTAAAAAAAAATCAACACACTACTATCAAACTTACAGAAATAAAAACGATTATGTGAGAATACCATGAACAACTGTATGGCAACAAATTAGATAACCTAGATGAAATGGACAAATTCCCAGAAAGACAAAGACTACCAAAACTAACTCAAGAAGAAGCAGAAAGTCTGAATAGACCAATAACAACAAAAGAGATTAAATTAGTAATCAAATGGCCCCATAGTCTCTGTTAACCTAGAACTAAAACCATTCCCGAAGTCAACTCTTCCAACAAAGATTAGACTGGAATATGAGACATAAAATGATACTCGTGAAGAGTGTGCTTCTTACTTCAAGTAGACACACGAGACTAAATGGGCAGCTCCTGTCCAGAGGTGCGTGAGAAGGCAGAAAGGGACAGGAGCTTGTTGAATGGACACAGGAAATCCGGGGTGGAAAGGAGGAGTGTGCTGTCACATTACAGGGATAGCAATTAGGGTCACATAACAATGTGTGTATAAATTTTTGTGAAAAACTAACTTGAGCTGTAAACTTTCACTTAAAGCACAATAAAAAAAAAAAAGTAATCAGAAAACTCCCCACAAAGAAAGCCCAGGATCAGAGGGCTTCTTTGCTGGATTCTACCCAATATTTAAAGAAAGATTATCACTAATCCTTCAAACTCTTCCAAAAAAGAGGAGAGATCACCTCTCAACTCCTACTAGGAGGCCAGCATAACCCTGATACCAAGCCAGACAAAGACACCACAAGAAAAGACAGATCAATATCCCTTATGAATATAGATGTGAAAATCCTCAACAAAATACTAACCAAAAACAAAAAAAAAAAAAAAAAAAAAAAAACCCGTTGCCGTTGAGTCAATTCCGACTCATAGTGACCCTATAGACAGAGTAGAACTGCCTTATAGGTTTTCAAGGAATGGCTGATAGATTTGAACTGCTGACCTTTTGGTTAGCAGTTGGGTTCTTAACCACTGGACCACCAGGGCTCCAACAATTTACTAGCAAAGTGAATCCAGCAGCATATTAAAAGGATTATACACCATGACCATTTGGAATTTATTCTAGGTTGGGTTCCAAGGTTGGTTCAACATACAAAAATTAATCAATGTTACATACCATATTAATAAAATAAAGGGGAAAAAAACTACATGATCATCTCAATAGACACAGAAAAAGCATCTGACAAAATCCAACACCCTTTCATGATTTAAAAAAAAACCCACTCAACAAACTAGGATAAAGGATATCTACAAAAATCTTACAGCTAATGGTGCGAAAGACTGAAAGCTTTCCCCCTAAAATCAGGAACAAGACGATGATGTTCCCCTCTCACCATTTCCCTTCAACATTGTACTGGAGGTTC